CAAGAAAAGTAAACGCTCCAAGGAGTGTGCGATGGAGGCTACAAATAGAAAACACACCGTCGGTAAACACTACAGAGACACATGTTCGACCGACAAGGAACATGTCAGAGCAGCGCGGTGTTGACATACAGCACTGTCCCACAGTTGTTTGTGTACAACAGATGTCGGCTAGGCTCTCCAATTAATTGACTTGTCGGATGTCACGATTTTTTATTAGTTCCATCTGTCATCTTTTAAATGTATTGTTCCTCGCTGTGATGAAAGATGAATGAAAATTTCTTGTTGAAAAGCGCCCCTCCCCTGACAGTGAGTGTCCTAGTCAGGGGTGATTCATTGTAGATATAGTTGGAGGAGACTGAAAGGCTAATATATAGATAGTTTATTGCAGGTTTCTACCCGTAGGCTAATTGCAAGTACATGTAACATGAAATTAAAGGGTGGACAATGGATAATAATATAGTATGTAACTACTCTAACTACTAAATACTAAATTTTAGCTTTTTGGTTTCGACTTCTTTTTTCGAGACAGTGGGAGAAGAATGATCCCACTTTTTCTATAAGACCCTTATAATACGTGCAAGGAGCTCCTTCATCTAAGAACAAGAGTGGCGTAAAGGTGTAGAACTTGTCTCAAGCAGTCAGGACCGAGAATTTGTGATACTTTGAAGATACATGTAGAATAGCCCTACTTGTACCTCCCAGCCCTTTTGTCTCCCCTTTGTCAGCCTGACATGTGATAGATGAGGACAAGTGGCCGCAATTTTCGCCCGCTCACCTCTGGTGCACCCAGGGTGCACCGGGGCTCCAGGGTCGTTCTGTCAATTATCTCCGCAGGCCAATCCTGTCACAGGATCGGTTATTGGCAGCTGTCGGTGACGATTTTTTAAATGTTTGCCTTTAAAAAACATATAGTTTTTGCTCTGTTCTTCAAACAAATAAGGTCATCATCTATCATAAGTTGTACCTAACTAAGTTCGCAGCCAATGAGTCCGTGTCCTTTCATTTGTACTTATCACTGCGTTTCTGAATAAAGAAAAAAATAAGGTCAATGACCTGAACCAGACGTCTGTTACCACGGTAACTAGTGTTGGGTTACATCATGTTGCAATTTTATAGCAGGAGGGATTTAGACTCCTGTTGCCATTATATGATTCTGAGTCCGCAGTGAAAATACGTAGCATAACCTTAATTGCGACAAACTGCAAAATAAAATCGAGAAATTAACTTCCTAAATTATATTCGAAGTTGAAAACCCAAGTCATAAACATAGAATAGAAGAACATCGTGTTTAGCCAAGGGCTGCTGCTACAGCGAACATTCTAATAAACGGTTGTAACGTTATAATGCCACAACCGGATCATTGAAAGTTCAAGGCTATAGTCTACTAGAAGTCAACTAAAAGAAACAGTCGTTCATGTATATGTACATGTATATTTGCATAGCAGGTCGACAAGTCTCACTATTACACCAGTTTGTTTACGTTTCGGAGCCCTTCGGATTAAGGTTCAGCGAACCGAAAATGTAAAAGACTAGCCTGAAGACACCTGCGCACAGAGCATGATGAACTGAAACATGTTTGACCTTTTGTGCTCTTTGGAGGATTGGCGTATCCGTTTTTCACTGTGGTCGCAACGTATTCTGTCTGAACGTGTGTAAAGTATAAACAGAAAGCAATTCCGATCTCCCCGCAATGATGTTTAGCCTACTTTAGGCTTATTTCACTCACAAATGTTGCACAAATGTTGTTCGTTTGTGTTTGATACTCTCCAAGCAGAGGTTTGGCTATTTTTGGCGTGTTTTAGACTTTTTTGCGCTGTGTGAAGAAAAAAATTCCAGTGCAAAAAAAGAAACCCCGATAAAAAAGCCTGAAAATAACCCAAAACCCAAACCTCTGCTTGGAGAGTATGTGTTTGATAGATTGTGAATTATGGCAACAAATGGTGCCCCGGTCATGTTGTGACATTCGGGTCCTCCGATTCGGCTGGCATGCCGTCCGACAACCTTGAACGATGACTGAACGGGGGAAAACCGTTAGTGTTCCGTTTATTGTTCCAAGGGTGTGAAAACTGGTGCATGTACAAGTTGCAAAGCCTACGTGCCAGTTTGCCATGTACGTAAAAACATCTAGATCTGTTGGATGTGCATGTATAGACTAGACACTTTTTACCGTGTAAAGTATGATAACTGATTGTCAAGCCTGCGGGGAAAAGAAAGTGTTTGTTATTATCATTTTAAACTGATCAGTGGACGTATGTCCGTCAAATATTTGTAGCTTTGTAGTTAGACGTTTTTATAAAGGTAAAACACGTACCTCCAAATTTTCGATGTCTACTGTACATCTTGATCATGGAGTCTCGCTTATTGTTCTTATGTCGCATCTCAACGTTTTGACGGAGGTGGGCGGTCTATAAAAATAATTGCTGGCTTGCTATGACATATTCGAACCTGCACCTGTCTAGAGCATTAACGGCTAGTCCCCGCCGTTGCGCCTACTCCTTCCGACGGAAATGCTTCCTGCTCCCCCCTGACCTGCCCCGCGGACCTCCCCCGGCAGACGGCTCGCTGATATCGTCTGCACAGATGTTTGACACTCACCCGGATGGCATGTAGCCCCGATCAGTCGACCCCCTGTTAGTTTTACCAAGGCCCACGCAGTATTTCACTCTCTCCAACCCTCTCTCCAGCTCCGCTTGGTTCCAGGTAAGTCGACGTTCTTCCTACCTGGCGTTTTTGTGTATGTCGCCATCTTCGCCTCTGGTTGTTTACTAAAGCCAAACTTCGCCCTACTACCAACTCACACACTGTGGTGTTACGTCGGAGGCAAATATATGACGACGGTTTTGACAGCTGTTCTTGTTCCTCACGGCGTTGTGAGCACGTAACGTTGTAACATTGTCTATCGCCGAGCTACCTTAGTATATAGTGGCCACACGTTCAGTATGTAAATGTATAACAGTATGTAATTATATAGACAAACGTTGAGAATAGGTTTCAGTTCGCAACGTGCCCCTTAATTCAAGCTACAGGCGTGACGTAACATCCGTGTTTTGGTTGTTAATTGCAGAAGCATGCGGATATGAGTGTTTTTTTCGATTATCATATTAAAATATACAGCGATAAAGTCATCTACAACAACTGTCACGTACACAACTATAATAATTTAACGCCTGGCTTCATTTCGTATTCAGGGCTCTGCGTACAATCGTTGACGGGCTTGACCTATATTCTGGCCCGAACAAATTTTGACGGCGCCTCCCCTGTCATATCATCATATCAGTGTTGGAGTATTTGTTTCAGGCGCACATATGTTACTCTCCAAGCAGAGGTTGTGGGGGAATGATCGTTAGCTTTTTACATATGGCCCTTTTTTGTCGCTACCCCCACCTTGGGTCGCGCATGGACCCTCTCTGGCCAATTGGATACTGATACTCTATTTTTACGACCCTAGGATCTGCTTGGAGATTACACATATGTCAACGTGATTATGGAAAACAACCAGGTCTTTCTAAAAGGTCTGATATTCCTTGCAGGCATAGACGATGCATTGCATTCTTTACCATACAAGCTTGCTATTTTATTTATGCACAACTTTTAACTGCCGCATCCGACTTGAAGTGGATAAACGGCTGGCGGTACCAGGTGTCAAAACATCACGTCCTTGTTATTGTTGTTTTTATTATTGTTTACCAAACACGTGGCAAACCTATCAATTGTCCTTAATGGTATGATGACATTTGCAAAGATCTAAGAACTCTAACTGAAAAGGGAAAGCGCTTATCAGCTAGCTCTAAGGCCATGTTGATTTGATTATATGGATGACATCTCCTGGGAACCCCAAAACTGACGCGAGCGTGCGAATAAAAAAAGTTTGGGGGAAAAGGTGCTTTCATTTTGAAATCTACGTGGTGGTGAAGGTTGAACAAATGACAGTAAATACACAGCGCTTGGTATGGCTAATAATAGAATCTTCGTTTCTTAACATTTTCTTCTTTTCCTTTGGAATTGGTTGGCATTCTATAACATTAGTATCGATTTTCCAACCCTCTTTCTTACAATTTACGGCATATATTTGCTCATTTTGCAGCTGCTTTGTAGATCTACGATTTACAGTATGGTCAAAAACTTTTTTTTAGAACCGGACGAAAATTAATTCTTGCTTTGACGTCATCCATACAATCAAATCAACATCGCCTAACTGTTAGTTGACATTCCCATGTAACCTCGGTCCCGGCTACTTACACTCCATACTAGTGACGAAGTGCTAATTGGCCCAGTAGAGGAATCGGTTTTCCATGTACTAACAGATGTTCACAAACGTCCCCTGTGTTTGAAGAGCGAAACGAAACGGACCCTTACAAAGCTCTTGTGACAGAGTCAATAGCCTAGCTCCTGATAGCCTGGATCCCAGACCCACTTAGGCTGAAAGTTATCCAGCGTGCGTGTATGGATCAGGGCCGAGGCTAAGGCCCTAACTGAGCAAGGCTATGCTAATTTCCTTGGGGGCATGTTGGCCTTGGAGCCGAGGAACTGGCCTGTGTAGGCCCTGGAAACAGTCTGGCACCAAACCTAAGCTCCTTAGTCCTAGCCGACGCCATTAGATCGTCCCCAACTGGACTAGATGCGAGGCTATGCCTCGTACCGTACATGCATCAGACACGCATCAAGAAACATTCCGACATGTCCAAATACACAACATACAGGAGAGGATACACAACAACACCGCATGCCAAAATGTCCTTGGGCAATTTATTTTGGTTCATCCTAAAATGGCCTGTCGGGAAACTTGCCCTATATGATCCTATATGTCTTGTTATGTCGCTTCTTTTCTTTATGAGAGTTAGGACTTTTGACTCAGCATATATTGTTGTGTGTGTTTGTATTTTCTTATCTGCGCACGTGTGACCTTTGCCCTTGCATCTCGATCCCAGGGAAAGATAGAAGCATATTTGTGCCCTCCGGTTATCATGAGTCATTTGTTCGATTGAAATAGATTTGAAAAGTCCTTGATATTAGACATAATGAGATAAACGTTAACGGCCGTTTCATCAGTTCCATATATATTATAATTTGGATACAAAAAACTGTAACACGTTACCAGTAAAACACCGTCAACTGCAAGTAGCCTGTGTTACTGAAATTATTGAGATTACGTCAAAAGGTGGCTCTGTTTTTTATGTTTCTTTGTCAGGCTTTCATGCACCATTGGTAGTTGTTGTTGGGAAGTATGTACCACTTATTTATTTACTTTGACTTGATTTTCCTCATAAAGGGAGTTTTAGTAGGTCACCTTCCAGCTTGGGCAGCAAGGCCATGTTCCTAAAAACCACACATGTATGTACTCTGGATGCCAGGGTGTTGTCATGGAGGAATATCAGCCAGGAAAGTCAGTCCACGGGAAGGTTAATTTTCCCCTCCGAACTTTACAGTGACGAAACTACCCTGGCTTATTATTCTCACTGATTGGGCAAATTTTACTAGCCTCTACTAGGTCGGGTGGAGAGAACAGTTTGCCAAACTCCCCTGGCATGCTATCTCTCTCTTTGACCGATTTCCAGCCGCCTCCCGAAGCCTGGTAGAGGCTAAAATTTTACTGCTTTTGAACCCGCGGTGTTAGTCTAGTGGAGACTAGAGGAACTGACCTCGCAACAGTCTGATACCCAGGCTAGTACCCTGCGTGTTTGATAGACATGTTTCGGTGTAAGCCAGCTGTCACTCTCTCCTGCCGGGCACATGTGGCGACTGACCTCCAGTGAAGACTTGGCCTTCACAAAGACGTTCTAGATTTCCTCAGAGTCGTCACTAATGCACGAGATGCGGTTCTAGTGGTTCCAGCGGCTAACGTTAGGGTTGTAAACTTTTATACGTTTATCGATCGATGGCTACACATTCAACATATGTTACTAGTACATGTAGGTGGTTTGATTTCATTCCCAGAGCAACTTAATCTTCCCAAAGACGTTCTACATGTAGATTTCCTTAGAGTCGTCACTAATGCACGAGATGTGGTTCCAGCGGCTAGCGTTAGGGTTGTAAACTTTATACGTTTATCGATCGATGGCTACACATTCAACATATGTTACTAGTACATGTAGGTGGTTTGATTTCATTCCCAGAGCAACTTGATTAATCTTCACAAAGACGTTCTACATGTAGATTTCCTCAGAGTCGTCACTAATGCACGGGATGCGGTTCCAGTGGTTCCAGCGGCTAGCGTTAGGGTTGTAAACTTTTATACGTTTATCGATCGATGGCTACACATTTTACTTATGTATACATGCAGGTGGTTTTCTTTCATTCCCTAGGAAGAGAAAGATGTTTGTCAGTTTATGTGTAAATGTATTTGTTTATTACTTCCGGATACGGAAGTATTGTTTTGGGTGGCTGGGTTGTTTCTTGGCGTCTCTGTTTGTCTTAGATATAATGGTTTCGGTTGCATAGTGGGTGGGTGGGAGGTGATTTGGACAGTTGATTGATAGGGAGTCCATCCCTGAAGGTGACCCAGGGCACGCCAGGTGGGAGTAGTAAGTTGGCGGTATGTGGAGGAATTTAGGTAGTGGTGTAATACCCGATTGATTACATCGGGCAAAATTTATTCATAACGTAAAAGTTATGAATGAAGTTTGTTGATTTTCTTTTCTATATTTCTTTTCTCAAATAAGAATTTATTTGCGTCTGGATTCACAGATCCAATTTTTCTAAGGGCTTCTCTGTTCCTTGGAAACAGAATAGTGTCTGTTCCCCGAGCCCTACAGCATTGCCATGCTAGTTTCGTGAGAGAGGTGGATGAAGATCGACCTTCCTGTCACCAGTCGCATGTCGCACGTAGTTGTCACGTTGTTGAAGTCACTCTCCGCTATCCGGGGCTTAGAAAGGTCAAGTTCTGTTGGTACTGTATTTTTAGACAGAGGTTTTTTTAAGGCAACTGTGCTTTTTTCAAACAGGGGCACCCTTGCTTATAATATATTTTTTAAAGAAAGGTTGAAATCTGAAAATGCTAGAACCTTTTAATTCCATAATTTTTGTTGCTTTGTTTCTTTGTTTGTTCATCGATTGCAAAAGTCTAAAACCATCTGACATTTTACCACTTTGCTACCACTTACTATATTTCTGATCATCTTTTCGCTGTAACCTAGATTTGTCTTAATGTAACTTTGTACGTGTTTTCGCAGTCATTATTTTCTTCCTGCTGGTTTTGCAATACCTGCTGTGCTTAACGTGATTTTGGGAGAAGAACTGTGGGAACATAACATCAAGGGCACGTCCAGAAACACTAAAACCTCCGTGCGGACACGCACGAAGCTCGTTCCCAAGTTGTTTCCAGCACGCAATATCGGGACACGACATGTCTCCAAGGAACAGCTTATAGGATATAGGGACAAGCTCCTTGATGTATCCTCTCTGGGCGGTCGTTAATTTCATCAGACGTCCTGATTGAACAGCCGTAGAGAACCATCCCGACCTACATGTACGGATAATGAAAGTTAACAGGAATGTTCCAGAAACGTCCCGAATGATTAGTTCGATTGGTAGCCTCTATCAGGCTTCAGAAGCGACTGGAAAGAGTAGAATTTGGCCTAATAGACAGATGACATGCCAGGGGAGTTGTTCACTCTCTGTAGATCTAGAAAGTCTTGATATGGGTTAATTTTCGTAGAGACGTAAAATTTAACTGAAACGTACAGCAACTTGGGAGTTCTTATCTTGAGAAATCAAAGCTTTCTCAAAAAGCTGAAGTGGAGGCGTCTGCAGACGCTTCCCGAAGCCTCGTAGAGGCTATACGACTCTGTCACGTCTGCCACTCTGATTTGTGATAGCATGTGCGACTAAGGTCACTCACCTCACGGCTATTCCCATAACTAGCGCCAGAGGGCGCTCTGTCTGGTGACCCGCGGCGCCACATGTGAAGTTGGCACGATGTCAACAGGCTATAAAAACACATTTTAGGTCGTATAGACGCCGTTAGAAGGTCACCGGGCCTGTTATAACATGATGCCGTCTATTTCTGTAAATAGTGAGCCCCTTTCCAGTTTTTACTGGTACAATACACATACGACGAGGCAACACACTTAAGGAATTATAAGCGCCACCCTTAAGTTCTGGATGAGGAATATAAACGTAATATTTATGGGCATAACTGTGCAGTTAAATTCATCATCATTGTCATTAAACATAGCCAACATTAGAGAAAACTTGTAAACCTTCAGTTGGATTGATATTGAACACATGTTTGAAAATGTGAATTTCGTACAACTCAAATTACATTATCTAAACGTTATTTTTCTTGTCCATTTTTAGGAATCACTAAAGCACCAACGATGGATCGTTTTGCGATGTCAGCCCTGTGTGTTGTACTCCTGGCGTTGGTCGGACAACAGTCGTCCGCTCAGACCACGGACACAATGACACCAGCCCCCACAACTCCAGACATACTGAGCGACATGACGGGAGCCACACCCTGGGCACTTGCAGTTATGATCATAGCCGCACAGGGGGCGCTGTTGTGCATCATCATCGGCTTCTACTTTTGCTACAGGTAAATAAATGTGCTATCTAATGTATTCGAAATGACACACAGTGATTTTTTTATGTTTACCTCTCGCAGAAGGAAAACATTGTTTTTGCTCTGCTTCTTCTTCCTCTTCTTCTACAAAACAATTAAAGTCAATGGCCTGAACCAGACGTCTGTCACCATGGTTACTAGTGTTTGGTTACATCATGTTGCAATTTTATGGCAGGAGGGATTTAGACTCCTGTCACCAAATACATGAATGTGTTTGAGTAAAAATTAACAGAACAGACCATATGCAGAGGTAAATATCATGTATTTGCTTTGCACTTCCCGGATTGATGTCTCAAGTTTCTTTGTTGTCTGTACGTAGACTGGACAACTCGTTCAAGAGCCGGGAGAGCGCGCACTGCCTGGGGTACATCATGTTGTTCGGCTGTTTCCTGATGTACGGTCTGGCGTACGCTTACGTCATCCATCCGCACGAGATCGTCTGCGGCGTCAGGCGGGCCGGCATGGGCTTCATCCACGCGCTGGTGTTCGCGCCCATGCTGCTCAAGGTATGTCTAGCAAGGTGCAAGGACAGGACAAGTGAAGTCAATGGTGCTAGTTAACACATATTTACATATGTACAGGGACAGGGAGACAGCTCAATGCAGCGAAGCCCGTCCCAGCTCTGCTTTGAACTGGGAGATGGAGTCTGGTGGAGACTACAAAATGCCCACGCCTGACTGATTTTTTCCTGTCGCTCTCCAGGCCATCCGGATCTGGCGCGTGTCCAGGCGTGACCTTGACGAGCTGACCCCCATGAGCGGGAACCGGGCACAGCTGCTGTTCACCGTGCTGCTCCTGCTGCCCGAGATCGTGGCTGTCGTGCAGTGGCTGTGGCTCGTGCCGCCCTCGGCAAAGATCGTGTACCCGTCGGGGGAGCCCGCCACCACGGCGTGCGGCACCACCAACCAGGACCTCATCATGTCCCTCATCTACGTCATGTTTCTCATGTTCCTCACACTGGTATGTACGTTTTTAACACCTGATAATGTTAAGGTAGATGAGTGCAGTGGCCAAGTGGGTAGAGTGCTCGCCTTGCATTCGGTAGGTACTGAGTTCGAACCCGGCGTTGTAATGCTAAAGACTTCAAAATTGTACTCACTGCTCTCTTTGCTTAGCACTTAGCATTTGAAAAAGAGTATATGCGAGGTAAACACACGCCGGTACCACTACCAGTGGACTAGTCCCCTGCTGTAGTGATTGCACTGCTGTGTGTGGCCCAAAGGCTACCGATACGCAAATGATACAGGACGGACTTAAACTTTTTAAACTTTGAGCTTTACTAGTCTGTCTGGCTCCGCGGTGACATTGACCTACCTGTAAACGTAACAGCATCGTTTTTTTTTCTGCCCAACAGCTCTTCAGTTTTCCTGGCTTGCCCCTCCGACCTGATCATGAGCTTTAGGTAGTCATGCGGCGACAACGACCTACCTACAAACGTAACAGCATCATGCTTTCTGTCCAACAGCTCTTCAGTTTCCTGGCCTGCCCCTCCGACCTGAACATGAGCTTGAGGAAGCCATGCGGTGACAATGACCCACCTACAAATGTAACAGCATCATTATTTTCTGTCCCACAGCTCTTCAGTTTCCTGGCTTGCCCCTCCGACCTTAACATGAGCTTGAGGTTGCCATGCGGTGACAATGACCCACCTACAAATTCCTCATGTTTTCTAAATTCTATCCCACACCTCTTCAGTTTCCTGGCCTGCCCCTCCGACCTGATCATGAGCTTGAGGAAGCCATGCGGTGACAATGACCCACCTACAAACGTAACAGCATCATTATTTTCTGCCCAACAGCTCTTCAGTTTCCTGGCCTGCCCCTCCGACCTGATCATGAGCTTGAGGAAGCCATGCGGTGACAATGACCCACCTACAAACGTAACAGCATCATTATTTTCTGTCCCACAGCTCTTCAGTTTCCTGGCCTGCCCGTCCGACCTGAACATGAGCGAGTCGCGCTTCATCTTTGTGGGGATCGTGTTCTCCATCGGCTGCCTGGTCGCCTGGATCTGCTGCCTCAAGATGACGGACTTTCCCGAGGACCCCGTCATCGCCATCGGGCTCTTGTGCATGGCTACCATCGTCGTCGTCATCATCTTCTTACCAAAGGTACGCGGTAGAGGAAAACTAGCACATCATTGACGAATTGATAGCTAGTTACTAACCAATACATAACCAATACTAGCGTTTTTTTGGACATTTGATAAAAGTTAAAAGATCTTCTAATCCTCTCAAATAGCAACCCAAAGAGAATAGAAAAAAAGTATTGCTCAGTCACGTCACTTTCCGGAAGTGTGGCGTGAGCCAGGTCAAAGGTAATTTGTAGTATGTATCGGCCCCCGCCCCGGTTAAATGGCGATTGACGGGTTGCGCACGTTGATCGTTTGAACTAAAATGACCTACCTAAATGCATAGGACAGACCTGGTCCCTTGCTCGTCTTCATTTTCCCCTACAGGCAACACGGTCCTTGTATGATAGCGTTTTGTTCCGCCACCTTGAGGGATCATCCAGTATCATTAACTTAAAATTGGTATCTTGTATTTCCAGGTGTGTTTGTTGTGTCGCCTGAGTGACGATGAAGACATGGAGGAACTGCCGATGAGCTACATGCCGAACGGCTACTCCGGCGGCTCCATGGACAGGGAACAGCGCTCCTACACACCGCACCAATACGACTACTGAGACTACCATCATCACACCGAGACGGGGGGCGCTACCGACTACTAACAACCAACTTTGACCCATTGCTCACGTCCGGAAAGTCCCCCAGAGAATCCTTCTGAAATACCGCACCAGTACGACTACTGAGGCGACCATAATTAAACCGAGACGGGGGGCGCTACCGACTATAAACCAACTTTGACCCGTCGCTCATTTCGGGGAAGTCCCCCAGAGAATCCTTCTGAAATAGCGCACCAGTACGACTACTGAGGCGACCATAATTAAACCGAGACGGGGGGCGCTACCGACTACAAACTACTTTTGAGCCGTTGCTCACATCCGGAAAGTCCCCCAGAAAATCCTTCTGAAATATGCGTTAAACGTACAAGAAAATTGAAAATTGTAGCGAGCGATTTGAACAAAGAACGTAGCCAATGAAAGCAAATTTCTTAATTAAAACCCCAAAATTGGAAGAAACAAAAACATTTTTTGTACCTGCGTTTCGAAAGCCAGTTGCAACATTGGCAAAGTATAAAAATATCCCTCTGGGGATGTTTTTATGGTCAATTTTGTTTTCTGATAAACGAAGGTTAGATGCGAGTAACCAGCTAGTTTTCAAGAACTCTGTTATGAGCCTTAGAGAGTTTCCAATAATGGGCACGTAAACTCAACAAGTTTTTCACAAAACTAGTGTACTTTTTTGCACGAAAGTTTCATTGATAATATATAACAACTTTTAAATGCCTATGTAATGCTTCCCTCCGAGAAGCATCTTTTGATCCATGACATAATAACAATTTCAGCTCGCAATGTAGCCTCAACCAGGCCCGCGGATCGCTGGAAAAATAGTAGAAATTGGCCGAAATGAAGGGATAGTATACCAGAGAAGATCCGGCCCACTGGTCGCAAATTGGATCTTCACTCTGGTCGGATCTTCTCTGGTATACTGTCCCTTTATTTTGGCCCAATTTCT